TCGGACTCCCAGTAGGGAGCTCGGACTCGTGGTAGGGAGCTCGGACTCGTGGTAGGGAGCTCGGGCTCTTAACAGGGAGCTCGGACTCCCAGTAGGGAGCTCGGACTCTTGGCGGGGAGCTCGGGCCCTTGGTGGGGAGCTCGGGCTCCTAGGAGGGTGGTCTGGAGTTCGGGCTCAGTAGCGAGCTTGGACTTTGCTTTCGGTGCTTGCTTCGAGCGCTCTACTGTCCCGAGTTGCTTGTTTCTGCCACGTGTCGGGTAACTGCGAGGTCGGGCCAAATTCCCCTTCATCAATTATACTATTTTATTTACTTATTGTATATATAAGCAATTGTATACATCAAAATTCATATAAAATTAAATTTTTAAGTTTTTTTTCAATTTTTTTAAATAAATAGCTTTGGCTCGGTCCACGACCCGGCCTGGCCCAAGGCTTGACCCACAGACCAACATGGGCCCGTGCGGGCTTGAGCCATGGGCCATGTTGGGCCAACATCCCAAAATATCCAAGGGGAGGGAGGCATGGCCCAGGACAGCCCACAGGCCGAAACAATGTCGGCCCGGCCAGCACTTTGCACGGGCCGCATGTAGGCTGTGTTATGTTAGCCCAGCACGGCCTGTTTTACACCACAATAGTTAATACCATAAGTATAATAACTAATGATAGGAATTTAAACGACGAGAAAAGTGGTTGATCAAATTACATTTCTATCATTACAATTAGAGGGACCGAAATTCAAAATTGGGGTATTTTAGTTAGGGGTGCAACTTGGGTGGGCCCAACGCAAGCCCGAACCAGCCTAACTCATAATTTTACACGGATTGAGCTTGGATTTTTGGTTCTCGGGCTTGGCTCAAGCCCAAGAAGTTGGACTTTTATATTTTTTTGGCAGTCCGAACCTGGCCCAAGCCCGGCCCAACTATATACATGTATACATAATATGTGTATATATGTAAATGTTGCATACATATATATACATACATACATATTTATATATATAACATTTGTATACATATTTTACGTACATATTTCCATATATACATAAATATATGTATATATGTTTGCATAAATGTATTTATATATGTATAATTTTAGAGTGAGTTTATTGACCAATTCGAGCCTATCTTGGGCCCAAGCCCAACCCAAGTGCATCAAATTATAGTGTGAACTGGGCTCGAGTTGGGAAAATCGAGCTTGACCTTAGGCTTAGTTGGGGCTCAAGCCTTAAGCCCAAGTTTTAGGGTCGGGCCTAGGCTGACCATAAACCCAACCCAACTCACCCGACTTGCACCCCTAATTTTAGTCAAAGAAAAACTTTACACTTTCAATTATAGTACGGATTGAAAAAAAAAAGTAATGAATATATGAATCATGGTTTTAAAAGCACAATGGATCCGGGTGATTAGACCATTTCACTCAAAATTGGTCATCTATTCATCCAAACTTTCTAAAAATACACTGAATTGGTCAATGAACCATTGACTCGTATGATTGAACTGTTAAATCATTTAACTAGAATAATGATTATGTATAAAAAAGTATTTTTAATTGTTTTTTTAATATTTAATAATGTCATGGGTCGACCACAAAACTAATAGCAAAACCAGTTCCATTTTTTGAATCGTTTTTTAAAACATTAGTTGGGGCTCAAGCCTTATGCCCAAGTTTTAGGGTCAAGCCTAGGCTGACCATAAACCTAGCCCAATTCACCCGACTTGCACCCCTAATTTTAGTCAAAGAAAAACTCTACACTTTTAATTATAGTACAGATTGAAAAAAAAAAGTAATGAATATATGAATCATGGTTTTAAAAGCACAATGGATCCGGGTGATTAAACCATTTCACTCAAAATTGGTCATCTATTCATCCAAACTTTCTAAAAATACATTGAATTGGTCAATGAACCATTGACTCGTATGATTGAACTGTTAAATCATTTAACTAGAACAATGATTATGTATAAAAAAGTATTTTTAATATTTAATAATGTTATGGGTTGACCACAAAACTAATAGCAAAACCAGTTCCATTTTTTGAATCGTATTTTAAAACATATTGGATGAACCAGGACCGATTCGGCCCAAGCAAGCAAGCACCAATATGTTGTGACTAGGGATGCAAATGGATCGGATTGGATTTGAATCATGATAATATCCAAAATCGATATGACACTATTAAGAGTCAAATCGATCATATCCAACATTAGTAAGAGTCAATCTGATTCGATCCAAATATCCGATCGGATCTCATAAGTATGGACTTGAATTTGAATCAGATGAAAAAAAAAAGGTAAGATTTTTAGATCTAATCCGATTCTTTTTAAATTTATTAAAAGAAAAAATATAATATAATAATTAAAAAACAAAAAACAAAAAATACAAGTATCTTTTCAACTATTTTCATCATATATATACATGTCTTTTTATACAAAAATTAATATAACAAGTTTTAAAAATGCAATATAAATAATATATTTATAAATAAATAAATAACATATATGTGTTACATATATTTATATAAATAAATAATATATATATATATCGGATCAGTTATCCTCAGCTCCAATAAGGGGTGATTTGAATCCAATCCTRTTTTTGATTGGATCGTATCACCTGATCTGTCTGAAGACCCAAATAAGGAGGAGGTCTGATTCCGACAAAATAGAACCAAAGGACACTAGAATCTGATCCATTTGCACCCCTAGCTATGACTTTATGAAATACCACTTCCCCTTGCAATGCTTATAAATCCTTTTTATCACCACAAAAAAAGACTTTTATTCTCTATGTTTTTGGTGTAGTCCTTTTTTTTAATGGACTTTTTCGGTGAAACACTTAGAATATTTTACAAATAAAGTCATTTCCTTGTCTTGAAAACTAGAACCTGATATGTGGGAGTTTGGAATGCAAAACAGGTCGGGTTGAATCGGTACTATGGTTTATGGTCAATCCTAACATAAGTACCCAACCTAAATTATTGAATTCCAAACTATGACTTTGTTCGGTTGAGCTCGGGGTGGACTTTTTTTGGGAGAGGTAATTAGGGGAAAAATGTCTTATGGAATACCATGAATTTTCATTTGCAACAAAGACCCCTAACTTTTACATTGTGACTACTACCCCTGGTCGTAAGTTGAATGATGGGATGCACTAAGGCCCTATTTGGCAATGTTTTCACCCGTTCATATTCTTTTAGAAATTCATGTGC